CTTTTGACATTTCAAAAACTTGGTAGTAGTTTATTTCAAGCACGTAGTCATTATAAATTGAAGAACTAGGGGGAGAAAAAGGGAAAGGTTCTGTTCAAATTGTTTTCACAACATTTGATTAGGCACATTTTTTTAAGACACAGTCTATGTATTCCTTGAGAATTAAAGCATTTTCTTCAGTTGTTTCCAGTCATGTCTAACTCTTTGTGACCCCTTTGGGGCTTTCTTGGCAAAGATATTGGCATGAGTGGTTTGCCATTTGCTTCTCCAGCTAATTTTACACATGAGGAAACTGAGGCAAACAGGGGCCAGATAGCTAGCAATGACCTGGATTTGAACCCAGGTCTTCCTGACTCCAGGTCTGATACTCTATCCACTGTGTTAGCTAGCTGCCCAAGTTAAATCATAGGATTAAAGAGAGTTTAAGGTTTAAATTTATGATAAGGTGAAATTTTTAATCAGTTCATAGATTGAAAGCTGGAATCTAGTACAGCTCCCTAATTTTATAGAAGGGGAAATTGAGACCCAGAATCAGTAAGTGATTTGCCCAAGGCCATGCAACTAGTATTAGATGTGAAATAAAAGCAACAAATTATTATTAATAACATTATATTCATTGTTAAACTCATTCTTAATTCAATAGGCCTTAAAAATCCATCCTTTCCTTTCTCCCTCTCCCTCTCACTTCTGGCTCCCAATTATTTACTAAAATTCACATTATTATCTACATTTTAAAGATTAGGAAACTATGTCTGAAAGAGTTTAGATGACTTGCTCAGTGGACAAGTAACAAAGTTTGCACCAGAGCTACAATCTCTTAAATTCAAGGCCACTGAACTTGGAATACGATAGCCCAGTTTTCCATAATCTGGTTTCCACTTGCCTTTTAAACTTTATCTCACAGGAAAATCACTCTGTGTTAAGGAGTCAATGATATTAGTCAAAAGACCATGATGCATATATGGATCTTAGTTGTGTGATCATCTTTACCTAATTTTCTTATCTGTAAAGGCAGAGAATGGACAAGATGGCTTCCATAATCCCCCCTTCATCTCTTGGCTGCCCACTGTTCCCTGAATCCTGCTTGTGCTTAACTGTTAGTAAATTTTTGTTCATGCCATCCCCACCACCCAGAACATCCACCTTTTCTGACTGTCCAAATCTTAACCATTCAATTTACATTGAGGCCCATATGCTCCATGAATTCTCTGGCCCAGGAATGCTCTCTTCTTCTTAACTTCCATAGCAGCTACTGTCCAAACAGGTCATTAACATGAGGTAACGTTGTGCTGTGGTGGTGGCCAAAAAAAACAAAAACAAAAACAAATGAACCAAAAAAACAAGAATAAACAAACAAACAAACAAAAAAAAAACCTAATGCAATCTGAGGTTGCATTAATAGAAGGTAAAGCCTTCACATCAAGGTCTGTGCAAGGTCAGATCTCAGCTAGAGAGAAGTTATATCAATGCATTTATGTTCCCCAGGCAAGGTTGGAAAATTGCATTCCCAGTGGATTACTGCCCAATGAAAGCTTTGTGTCTGCACTGTAACACATACAATATAATTTATTACAAAATAACCCATGTTCAAAGCACAGCAGATTTTTATTACATCAAAAACATGTGTATCCAATTGCACCCCTGATTCCTCCACCTCTGTTTACCTCTTGTAAGTACTATCTTAAGTCCTGGACCTTATCTAGAGGATTGTGTTTCAATGTAGGCACCCCATTTTATGAGAAATATTTATAGATGTTGAAGGAGAACCCTGGGTAGTGAAGGGTCTGGAGACCAGGTCATTTAAAGAGAAACTCCTAAAACTTGGAATTTTTGGTCAGGCAAAAAGATGTAAAGGGTTGGCAATTTTCAAATAATAACACCTTTCATACAATATCTCATTTTTGACTTTTACAGTAGTTCTGTAAAGTAGGCAGAGAAGACATTTTCTTCATTTTATAGATGACAATACTAAAGGTCAAATAAAATCAATGAGCATTTATTAAGTGTGCCAGGCACTACACTAAGCTCTGAAGATCAGAAAGTTTCAAGTGACTCATCTATGTTTCTACAGCTGTCAGGTGTCAGTGCTTGGACTAGAATCCAAGTCTTATAATTCCTACTCCAAGGATATTTCTATCCTACCACACTCTTTCTTATATTTCAAGGTGACAGAAAAATCAGGATCATGCCAATATGAACAGAACCATAGGGCCCTATTCAGTGTCTGATTTCTCCCATGTGCAGTTCAGGGAGACAAATAGCTTTGGTCTGATGATGCAATTGCTGCCCTTCACTCTTAAACCTTCCCTCTCCATGCTACATAATAGGAATATTTTATCGGTAAGAAGCATACTTCATAGGGCTCAGAAAAGGACTTTAATAATCACTGTGTCCAACCTCTAATTTTACAGAGAAGAAAACCAAGAGCCACGTGGAGGAAGGGACTTGCCCAAGATGACACAAGAATTTGAGTGGAATTTCTCTGATTCCAAGTCCACTACTCTTTTCAGTACATCATATTTTCTGATCATCTTGATCCTTCCATCTAGGCTTGCTGGTCAGTTCTTCTCCTAAGAATCTGGATTAACATGTTGCAAGCAGACTCCTACTGTAGTCAAGTCATTCTCTCACCCCTATCTCACCTTTTTTATCTGGTACTGTACCCCCAAATCATGTCCGTGGGACTCTGTCATGCTTTTGTATCAAATTCTTTCTGCCCTGTCCCCTAATCAAACAGTTTTTTTCTCACTGCAGTTTCTCTATGAAGAACTGAGGAGAACAGAAGGCAATGCCAAAGCCATTTGTGACAATGTCCAAAAGAACTCACATTTCTATAGCATCATAATGTTTAATAAGCCTTTTGATCACAACAACCCTATGAAATAGGCAGCATGACTATTATTATCCCCATTTCACAGAATAGGACACTGGATCTCAAAAAGGTTAAGTGATTGGTCCATAATCATATGGTTAGTAAGTGTTAAAGCTAGCATTCAAAACCAATCTTCACATTCCAAAAATAGCACATTGCTCAACATCACATTATCTGTCAATGTATCTGAAAAGGGAGGGTTGCTGATCACCTTCTTTGTGCTAACTAATTTCAGCTCACACACAAGCTGCACAAGTAGGAGGCCCATGTCTGTTGCCTAATGGGGAAGGACACAATTATCATAGAAGGACTGGCAGATAAAAGAGGGATTGGATATCCTGCCTGCTACAGCCAACGGGTGAATATTATAGAGACACAATTCACTATATTTTAACTCAATATAATTCTCAAGATTTAATGTCATCTAAAAATGACTTTCTTGGGATGTTCACAACAGTATGAATGTTTAGGCAGAGTCTGGATGAACATCTGTCAGGGGATTTTTGTGCTGCTGATTTTTGCATTGGGCAGGACTAAATAAACATGGTTTCCTTCCAACTAAACTATTTCGTGATTCTATATATTAAATGTTTTTATAAATAATAATAACAATAACTTACCATTTATATAGTACTTTAAGATTTGCAAAGTACTTTACATGTTATATCTCATTTGATCTTCAAAACATTTTACGGATGAGAAAATAGAGGCCCAGAGATTAAGTGACCTGCCTAAGAACATATAGCTAAGTAAGTAAATGAGGCTGGATTCAAATTTTGATCTCCTTGACGCCAACACTCTATCTCCTGTGCTAGTTATTATATTTCTTTGTATTACATCCCTTAGTGCTAGCACAGAGTAGGAGGCCCACAAAAATTATTTACTGATTGAACTCAAATACAAGTGATACAACTTCCTGAAAGATTTTTATGATAAATATATACTACAATTTTTCCCCAGGATATTTTGCTTTCTCCTATGGTTTATTAAAATTTTGTTACCACATTTCTAAATTCATCTCAGTTTGATTCAGTTTCCTGTTGAGTTTTTCAGCATCTTTAAATTTTGGAGATAGAGAGTAATAGAAAGCATTATTTACTGTTCCTTTACTAGTGAGACTAATCACAGTATAAGTTTTTCCTATCATTTTAAGGGTAAGAAAGTGCTTTATATACATTATGTCATTTGAGCCTCACAAAGACATAGCAATACAAATACTACAGTTACTGTATACATTTTTTAGAGGAGGTAACTGAAGGTCAGAAAAGTAAAATGATTTGTGAGCCCACTGCTACACAAGTGTCAGGATTTGCATCCTCATGTTTACAGAAATCAGAGGATTGCTGTGGTAGCCCTGTTCTTGTCCAGCAATACGAATGTGACAAGGGACCCTCATGCTAAATGGTCAGCACTTTTTCTGTTCCACTCGTCATATAAAGATGATTTGGAACTGAAAGACCTCAGTTCAAATCCCAGCTAAGTTACTTTGAATCTGGAGAAATTGGGGGAAATCACTTAATCTTTCCTGGCCTCACATTTCGCTCATCCTTCCAATGAAGGCTCAGGATAAATGACCTTTAAAGACTTGTCTAGTTCTAAACCTATAATCTTATGATCCTTTTACTAATGCAATGTATAAAAATATACGTTAGAAAAATGTGTATACCATTTTAGATTTTAGTTAAATAATAATCCAAGGAGATTTATTTGAGATTTTGCTATGTTAAATTTTGTCATTTTGCTTTCATTTAATCCCTCCTAACCTAATTAGAAATGCAAGGTCTTTAATGTAAGAAGATAAATTTATTTACACATTTATGTAGCAAAGATTTCTTGAGATTCTACCATGAACAAGGCCTTATGTTGGGAGTTGCAGGGGACACAAAAATGAAGAAACTATTGTTCCTGCTCTCCTAAATTCATTTAGCTTATGTTCTATTAGAGGGATGCAATTTGAAATCTTAGACAATATTGGAATTTTAACTCTTATCTCACAGGCAGCCTTGTTAACCAAAATTATTGTATAATTGGAAGGCATTTTTAATCCCCAAGTAATCACACACATGCAAACATATGCAGAGCATTAAAACTTACTGTACAAAAAGTTGAATCTTAAAGATGTACTTACACATATAACACTGTTCTAGTGTCACCTACTTTCCCAGCATCCCCTACTGTTAGAGTGTCATAGCCTCTTTCCAGCTCAAACTCTTCAAAGGCAAGCTTGATGACCTGAGAAAAAGATGGAAAAAAATATTGGTTGAAACTTATTTTTATTGAAAACATGTTTATTCTGTTGTAGTACTGAACCATATTGCTATTTTCATTCTTTCATGTAAAGTCATTTCAAATGCTAGCATGTTACATATTTGCAGATAGTTATCATTTATATAGCAGTATAAAGTTTGCAAAATGCTTTATATATGTTACCTCATTTGATCCTTACAAAACGATTTGAGGTTTCGTAGATACATCATGCTTAATATCTTTATATGCATTATTTGAATATATGCATATTATTTTTGCTGACATTATGTAAATTAATTGCTCATTTGTCCTAAAGATTCTTAGTCTGGTCCATGGATAGATTACTGGTCATCTATGAACTTGGATGAGAAAAAAAGATATGTATGTGTGTGTGTATATACATATATAAACATATATACATATAGATGCTTGTATCTTCACTAACCTCAAGCTGGAATTTCTTTCAATAATTAATTATTTTTTTCTGACAATTAGGTCATGTGCTTCATCAGACCACTGAAGAGTTCCATGACACACATAGAGGTTAAGAATCCCTGACCTAGAGGGACTGGACTTAACATAGAATTTATAGAATTCTCAGCTGTCCTTACTTCTTTTGAAAATATACTTCCCCAGTTACTCAGACAAAATTCAGCACTTTGTATTCTTTGCATTAAGCTCTTGTCATGTATCGGATATTTAAAGACATGAGTTAAAATAAAATTTATGCAGCTTCAAAGTCTATGGCTAGCCAATAACAAAATAATGAGCTAACATGTGAAAAAAAATCTATGTTCACAAATTGGATTTTTTTCCCCCTGAATTGACTGACCATACTAGTTATTTTGCTGTCAAATAGCTACAACATTAATCTAAGTAAAATGGAAATTTTGCTGACCTTAGGTTGGAAAGCTTTTGAGGGTAAATATTGTAAGCACAGTACAGATTGAAGGAGTTATATAACAAGATTTTCAGATGAACCTGGAGTATAGTTTTATCTGAATTGATGGATACATTTCTGAGTCAAGAAGGGACTTCCTGACATCTGGTTTTGCAGTCAGCCTGTTTGCTTCAGAAAGATCACTTTGACATGACAATTGATATCTATCACATCTAAAGTAGACAGTGTTCTGTCAGCTGAGGTGAGAAAGTATATGAAGATTTAAACTAGTATATGTAATAGAACAGGCCACTTGAGATCACAATATATAAACTGTCTACCCACTTCACTGACTTACAAAGTACACTTGACTACTGATGTTTAAGATATAATTCAAGACATTTATCCTCATCTTCAAGGATTGTTAAGGGCCTGAGTAACTTAAGAAGAGCCTAAGACTCTCTCTACCTTTCCCTTTTCAATCCTACAATCTTTTAATAAAACACTTACACATGCACACACCAGAATTTAGATTGTCACAATTTAAAATAATTGTAGGTCTCTGATAGAGAAAAGTAATATTTCCAAATCTACATACTTATTGTTATTTCACAATATTTGAGAGAAAATAAAACTTAAACTATTTTCTAAGAAATAATAACCATAGCATTATATTTCTGGTGATGCAATTGGCTTGAAATTAATAAAAGCCATTTTACAATGGATTCATTCAGCAACCACTTATTAAGTCCCTACTATGTACCAGGCCCTGTGCTAGGCAATAGATATACAAAGTCAAAAATGAAATATTCTCTTCTATTAAGGAATTTACATTCATTACAGGAAAGGGGGAGAAATAATATTTGAATTTGAAAATTAAGCATAAGACAGATGAGGTAGGAAGAATTTTCTGAAGAAAAGGCAACAGCAGTTAGGAAGATCAAGAGAAGCTTCATATGTGTGGGTTTAAAGAAATTAATATTTATTAAGGGCTTACTGTATACCTGGTCCTGTGCTATATAAATTCAAACATGCAAGATAGTACCTGTCCTTACTGAGATTACATTCTAATGGGGAAGGTAATAGAAAGGGGAGCTGGAAATTGGGATCATGAAGGGCTCATTCAGGTCATGGAGAAATGGATGATTACCCATAAAAGCCTGGTACCCCAGAGACAGGGTCCAAGGTTCTAGTGAGGGGGATATGAGGATGATGGGTCAAATTAAACTAGCATGGTACATAGCATAGAAATGTCAAAGAAGGAAGAGTGATGTGGACAGATTTCTGCTTGGGTAATATCAATTTGGATGCCATGTGAAGATAAATTAGGAAGCTATGTCAATAATTCAGATAAGAGATGATAAAGGCTTGATGCAAGATGATGGCTGAATAAAGGAGACAAATACAAAAGATGTTGTGGAGTTAGAATCAAGAGATGTAACCTGATTGGATATGAAACAGCAGGGAAGAATGGAGGAATTAAAACAGTAGTAGAAACTAGACAATTATGGTACAGACATAACTACCTGCTTAATGGTCATGCCAGAACAGAATGTTTATCAAGCTCTCTCCATCAAAGAAGCTTTTTACTGGAGATATATGGTACTGGAGATAGATGAAATTTGCTCATTGGTGATCAAGCTAGCTAAATAGTAGCCTCACAAGTAAATGATTAATTCTTTGGCCATGACAAAGCATGGAAGAAACAAAAAAAAGGTAAAAGCTGCTCTCTATCCATTGTGGTCTACTTTTACTACTGAGTGATAGTAGCAGAACGTCATAAAAAAAAGGGGGGCTTTTCCAATGACTATTGTAGCATCTACAAACATTCATTTAACTGCTGGTAATAGATATAATTTTTGTACAATAACACACAAGTTTACAGGATTATGGATTTAGGTGAAAATATAATTCAAATATATTTCCAATAAATCAAATATAAATCAAGAGCCCATAACTTATAGCTGAGGAAACTGAAGAAGAGAGAAGTTAAGTGACTTTCCTAAGGTAACATAGATATTAAGTTATGACATATTATTGGAAGAAGTGAATCACATTGGTATTGACATTCTCATAATACACAAAACTAGAAAATAGAAGCTAAATGAAAGAATGGCTCTCAATTTCTCCACAAAGATAAATAAAGGCATCAACAGTTATTTTAATTATGCAACTAAAGGTGATAAGAAGCATAATTCTGTGGGATACTAGATCATTTCATTGCAATGTCCAGAAACATAAGCCAAAAGAAAACCAAACCAAAAAACAAAAAGCAACTCATCATGCAGAAAATTATGGTATATGCATTTACATGTAGTGTAATGAAGAAAGACTTAGAGAAATTTTATGAGGAGCTTGGCAAGATCCTCCAAATCAAGTCAACATTTACATTCCAAATGAATGAGTACATTTATTTATGCATGTATGAATGAAAAAATATTCATTAAATGTTTACTATGTGCAAAGTTTCAGGGGATATCAACAGAAAAGGAAGATAGTCTTTGATCTCAAGGAGCTCACATTCTGATAGGAGAGAAGATACATCCCCCTACACACACACACATACACACACACGTTTATACACATATACACATATGCATGCATATGCACATATATGTTACATTCCCATCTAAATCTATGATCCTATGGACTTGTCCGTCATTGTACAAAATTATCTAGATTGCCAGCAGCTAAACTAATGTGTGTGTGTGTGTGTGTGTGTGTGTGTGTGTGTGTATTTCAGCTGCAAGTCAGATGGAAATGCCCCATAATGCCTAGGGTTCAACGACAAAGCAAATGCTGATACATCTTCTTTAGTGACATTTCCATTGATAAAACCATATCCTTTTCTCATATTTAACTGTTTGACAGTAATAAGACACTATCACAATGGATGGAGTGCTGAGCCTAAAGTCAAGAAGACCCGAGTTCAAATATGGCTACTAAGCTTCCTAGTTGTGTTAACCTGGACATATTACTTAAACCCACTTCACCTCAGTTTCATTATCTGTGTAATGGGGATAATAAAATTACCTATCACTCAGGGTTGTTGTAAGGATTAAATGAGATAATCTTTGTAAAGTCCACAACACAGTTCCTGACATATAGTAGCCTCTATATAAATCCTTATTCTCTCTTCTTTTCCTTTCTCCTTCCCCTCAGTGACTTTCGAGGCTTTTTTAGGTCTTCAGAGATCTTATGCCTTCAATTCAAAACCAAACACAGGAGAAGATAAAAAGGAAGCTAGAAAATAAAGTCGAAATTTAGAGGGAAAAAAAGAGGCAAAAGCTTTATAGACTACTCAGAAACCTCCTTCCCATATAATCTTCAATAGGTATTCAAAATTGGAAGTGAGTCGGAAGGTGCCACACATGAATATTTTTGAACAACTTCACAACATGTCAAGAGAAACATGGAAATCACTTGAGATTCAGCAGTATACATGGAACTTGACTTAATTAGAGAAAAGTTAAAAAAAACCCAACAAATTAGAGGAAAAGGTAAAGATGAGACAAACAATTTGGACAACTTCAACCTGACCTTTTCAAAAAATCTGTTGATGTCCCAAAAATGTGAAAAGGAAAAAAAAGAGAAATAAATTGACCTTGGGTTTTGTCATTTCCAACAGCAGTTTAAATAATATAAATCAGTCTGTACAATATGCAAGCAGCCAAACACTAGATATTAATTAATTACCAAACCGCTAATCTTTCCAAACAGAAAAAGAAGCCAAAGCCAAACCCGGTTTAATGCATAAGGTATATATAAAACACAATGTAAGATAATGATGAAAAAATATAAGCAGCTTCAACTCATAAGGAAGTCAAAATCAATAAAGTGAAAACAAACTTCAAGAAAGCTTGACATGAGATATGACTAAGTATTACCCACAAGAGCACTTATAGATGAATCTATAATGCCAACAAATAGATGGAAAATGGAACAGATTTGCCAGTTTCTAACTGCCCATTTACACAATCAATGGGTAATTGAACTACAATAGTTTATTGTCAATGCCTAATGCAAAGCAGTACGGTGCAGAAGAAATGACACTAAACTTGGTATCACAGAATGTGAGATTAAAATCCTGATTCTGCCATTTCCT